CGAGGATGAGGATTGTACAGGATCTGTGAATAATGAGGCTTGTTCAGAATCTCTGTTTATTACTTCTGCTTTTTTTACTTTTTCTTTTTTACTCTTCATTATTTCTGTTACTTTCATAGGTATTAGTATGTGCTTACTTCGTCCTTCCATTAGCTGAGTAGTAGTATGAAGAATATTATATTTAACAATATTTATTATTCTTTCAATTCCTATTTGATAACAAGTGAACATTCGTTGGTAACCATCTTCTGTTAATTGTGTAGTAGTTTCCGCGAATGAGGTATGTGATTCTGGTTGTATGTTGTTAAATGCTGATTTGAGCTCATTGATTAATTTCCAAAGTGCTTCTTGGTGATTTTTAATAGATTGTGAACTTCTGCTTACTGAATGATCTTCTGAAAATTCTGAAATCAAAAGGTTAAGTCGTTCATGCTCAGACTGTACTGCTTTAATATTCTGTTTTAAATTATCTAAATTAGTTGCCCGTCCGGTTATATTTTCTTTTACAAACTTTACTCCAAATGTTTCTAGAGCTTCGTCAAAAGCAAAATAATGCCCTTCTTTGGTTAAATTAACTGAGGGTATTGTCCGAAGAGTTTGAAGAAACTGCGGGTTTCTTTGAAGGTCTGAAGAAATCATGCCACAGATTCAGTATATCTTATTTTTCCAGTTACGGAAAATAAGGGAGCGAATGCTATCAAGCTATACATCTGTAAATCGAAGTTTGCCATACGAATGCCAAGCTTATACAATTTTAAATAACATACCCATTGATAAAAATTATACCACACTTTTAGCAATTTATTGTTTTCAGTGGGAATATCATTAATAGAAATTTGTTTATCCTGAATATATAGGTGAATCGAAACTCCAACTGCTGTCCAAATAAGTTCAAGTACTCGAAATGTTGCCCAATAGTCAGCAACTTGTTCGAGTTTGTCAAGAAATTTAACACCAAGACATGAAGCAAGTCCAAAAAGTCCATAGCCTAAAAACCCAGAAATTAATGCACTACACATTGCCTTATTGGTATGCCATTGTTCTAAAATACAATGTACCGTTTGATTTTCATTTTTATAATCTTTCATACGATGATAAATTGCTTCATTACATGCTAAATTTAATATACTATTATCCATGTAATTAAAGTCTTCTAGGAACATTTTGCTGCCATGTGAACATGTTCATTCGTGTTTGGAGCCTCTCCCGGTTCAAGAATTACGATGTTTGAAGGTAATACAAATGGTGCAGAGTCAATATATTCTTTAATAGCTGTATCAACATGTCCAATATTGAATTCCTGTCCATAACTAATTGATTCATTAAAAATTGAGTCTATTTTTCTTTGCCATTGTTCCATAGTAAAATTTATACCAAAAAGATTCTGATTTTCTAATGGTTCTTCATTTAAATTAGCTAGCTCAGAATATTGAAATTGAAAAGCCATCCGTAATGTAGCATGTGCAGTAACACATATTACATCATAAATATTGCCATAATGAAAAGTTGCATCCTTCATATCAATATTATCTATAACACCAAAGTTTAAAAAATTCGGGCATGTAATAAGCCTTGATTGAGGTTCTGCTGTTGACATTCTTTTTTTTTGAACACGTACTTCATGATCGCGAACGTATGATACTATTCTTACTGCATGAAGAATTCGGTACAAAGATCCTATTATTTTTGGTCATCTACAAAGAGAGGAAAGCACATGTGTGACCCATATTTTCCAATGGGGAAAAGCAACAGTAAGAATTACTGAAGCGAAGAGAGTTGTAAGTAATTTTATTTTTTTTTCATTTAATTGTGGAAGAGGTTGGCCTCTTTCTCTTCTTTTTCTAGCTAATACATTGTTTTTTTTCTCTTCCAAAACTGAAATTAAACCAACAAGGAAATTTGTAAGTGGCGATGGCATGGCAGTATAATAATTATCAAGTGACTCTGGCTCTTCAAGTAATGGCAATCTCTCCTTAAGTTTAGTTCGTGCCTGGATTACAGAATATCCAAGCATTTTTCCAAAATCTTTGCACATAATATCCTTTAAGTGCATTGTTTGTGCTTCTTCACTAACATAGATTTTATTAACTTCAAATGCAATTTTTATTAAGAAAGGGCTAGGTACTATAGTGGTGGTAGAAGTTTCATCAACAGTATTATGTGCTTCGGGCCTATCCTTGGTAACATTGTCAAGAAGTTTGACAAGCTTATCTAATAAATTAATTTTTGCACTTTCATCTTCACATATAGCAGTCTGTTCAATCCATTTACTGAATTGTATTAAAGCAACCGTAGCATCAGCACTATGCTGCTCTTGCTGTAAGCATGAAGTCAAACATTTTCCTTTTTTTGGTGGAGCATGAAGATGAGTTACAAGGCAGTTTGTACAGATAAAATGAGGGTTCTCATCAGTAAGTGATCTAATCAATAGATTTTTATGTTCAGAAATTGCTGGACAGTCAAACAATCCACGGCATGGTGCTTGAATTGTGCGTCCGCATACTTTCCACGTATATGATGCACACGTTTTACCTCTTGTAATAAAATATTTAAATTTTTTGTAGAATAAACAGCGGCGTGAGGTAACATCACTTTCTTCAATTGTCCTTATTGCTTTTATACGCCTTTCTGAGTTAACCTTGTGTACAGAATTTTGGTCATAGTTAAGATGATAGTAACAAACCTTTAACTGTGAAAAATTGTTTCTGACTTTTTTCGCAGCTAAAGAATCAACCTCCCATGTACCACATAGTTGTTTTATGCTACGGTCTGCTTGTTGGTTGCATCTTTGTATTATATGCAAATCATCATCATAATCAATAACAACACAACGTGTTAATTCTGTAGCATTACTAGAAGTAAGAGAAGTTTGTATTTCAAATTCTTCAAGAATTTCTATCTCATCATGATTAGAAGATTCACCACCTTCATCATCAAGAAATTCATCATCGTCGAGAAATTCATCATCCTCAAGAGATTCTTCATGTGAATCCCAATCGAATATGAAATCCTCATCATATGCTACGTGTTCAATGATATTATCAGATCCTTGACTATAAATTTCTTCGTGGTCAGATGAAGTTTCATCTAAGTATTCATCCATAATTTATTTTTATTAATTGTGCTAGTTGAAAAATTGATAGCAGTAATAGATGGTTTGAGTTTTATTTTTTTTCAATTCGGGTTAAGAAAATTTTGGAGAATTGAAAATTTCGCTTTAATTTATCTTTGGTTTGGACAAAGTCTTTCATTAGCACAAAGGTATCTTTATATTTTAAATCAGTGTTTTAAAAATTTATATTTGATTTATTTAATCAACGATTTAGGTTAATGAAAACATTCTGATATAATAGGATTTAGAAGAAAAGGAAGTAATGAAACACAAATTTCGACGAAACAAAACATCAACAAAGGATAAAACTCGAATGTCTCTTTCAAAGTTAAGTATTTTCTAGTATGTATAGATATCATAAGAGCAACACAAAATGCGGCTAATAAAACAACATTTATTTTTAACTATTACACTAACTGATATTACATTGTGATCTAATTTTTTTTTTTATAACAACGCCTTGTTGAAAGCTACTAAAATCAGCTTATTGGAAATATCTATTTTTTTTTCATTCTGGGCCTAAAAATATACAACAACACCTTAACAAGACATCGTTGTAAAGGCATCATTGTGAAGAGGTTTGGGTCAAAATCCTGACAATGAAGGCATCGTTGTAGTGATGGGAAAAATGCGCATTTTATAATAAAATGCGCATGAATTCACATTTTATAATAAAATGCGTATGAATTCGCATTTTATAATAAAATGCGCATGAATTCGCATTAATGCGCACTTTATATAAAATGCGCATGATATCGCATGATATTATTTTTGGAATTTATATTTTCGCTTCAAAAAATATTGGATACGTACTCAAATTTTAACTCGATCTTACTCTTCTTTTATGTTCATTAATTATCTTTTCGTGACTTTTACACCTATATTCCTTAATTCCGCCTGAAAATACGCTTCCTTGCCTAAATTATATATGCTTTAAAATTTCCTATATAAAATTTAGATGGGATAAAATGCGCATGATTCTGAAACATGCACATGAATGCGCATTAATACACAGATTAAGAATTCATGCGCACGCATAAAACCCATCTCTACATTGTTGTGAAGGTGTTGTTGTATATTTTTAGGCCCAGAATGA